CTTTGATTTTACAAATTTATTAATTATTTTTTAATTAATAATTTCATTGAGTTTGGTACTTTGTATGCCAATATTAAAATTAAACAACATGAAATAATAAGGAAAGCTTACAGAAGAATGATTACCTTTTCATTGTTAGAAAAGTTTAAATAGTTTTGTTTGGAATTTAAATGAAAATTAATAATACCTTATCACAATGAAAACTGAGAACATCAATATTAAGCTTTATCAATAGAAACATCTTTTATGATATCATCTTTACTGATATTTTGATTCATTTGATCATTTTCATATTCCACAAAATCATCAAATAAACTTGGCCATGCTTCTGCATCATCATAGGCACCAAGATCATCACCAATGCTTTCAGCAAAATTCAAAAACATATTCCATGTATCTCTGGGTATGCCTCTAACATGATGGCACTCAAGAAATTTCAACCATCTGGATAAAAGTGGCGGTTCACGTAATGTAAAAACAAGCTTCCATAGAACGATTGCCATGTCAGCTGGTAATATTCTTTGACCAGAATTAATATCTAAACCAAATCGGAACGTAAATCGATAGAGATCTTTGAATAAATCACTATTTACTGACAAGTCTTGAACAATTTCTGGTAGTCTTGCTTGTATACTACGTATACTGTCTACTTTCATTGCTTTTAAACCTGTCACAAATTCTTGACGTGTAAATTGGCACATTTGTTCAGCATTTAGTTTCCAAGCAAGCACAAGTACTTGAAACTCATCCGGTGATAGTTGTAAATCATTGCAAAGTCTTTCTATTCCATCTGCTAGAATTACATCTTCATGTGGATCCTATCAATCAAATTTGCAAAACAAAAATTATTTTTTGAATAAGAATTTTGAATTTAAATTATAAATTTAGTATTAGATATGTAATGATTGGCTGTCATAAAATATTAACATGCCAACATGTCACATACCACTTAGTCCACTGTGCTGTATAACATACTGACATATCACTTTACCCTTTACTTTGTATCATAACCATTTATAGAGCAGATACCATAGCTTGTTTTGGTGATTACACAAAAGTTTGAAATTTTCTTTTTTATTAATATAAGATTTAATATGTAACAACAGTTTAATGTTATGATTTTATTGTAAAGTGAGCTTTTATAAAACTTCACTATTGTTCAATATGTTGGCACATAAAGAACATGATGTGAAAGTCAAGTCTGACAGCCAACACAATGAAACAAAAATTAATGAAACAAACTGAAAATTTTCATTTCAAATTTACCTTATATTGGTCAAATAAAGCATTTAACTTATTCTCCGATTCTCTTTGCTGTTTTGATTCACTTGTCACATTTTGCCCAGACGATTGTCCAGATTTACTCAGTGGCGGTAAACGTGTATAAAATCCTCTCGACAAACGTAAATTATTTTGTACGCTAGGCACAGACCCACAGTTATCAGACCCTACATTATTGAATGTTGATAACGTAGTGATTGATTTTCTGTTTCCATTTATATGTGGTTCAGGTACCAAAGGCCCAGATTGTTGGCAAGAATTTGGGAACAAGCCCCTAAGTTCCATTGTTTCTACAACCACATTAACTGTTATCACTTCTATATAAAAATGTAAATATATACTAATTTTCATGTAATTTTTTTTTAATATGGTAT